GGGGGATTCTAGGCAGGGGCTCTACCACTGAGCCACACCCCCAACCCCTCACTGGGGGATTCTAGGCAGGGGCTCTACCACTGAACCACACCCTAGCCCCTCACTGGGGGATTCTAGGCAGGGGCTCTACCACTGAGCCACACCCCAGCCCCTCACTGGGGGATTCTAGGCAGGGGCTCTACCACTGAGCCACACCTCCCAATTGCAAATAACTATTTTCTTTTATGTGCTCTGGGAGGCAGCTTTGCTCACCCTACTACCATTTGGGGTTTTGTGTTTGATGGTTAAAAATAGGCATTCTATACTTAAAAGAAAAAGTTGAAATCCCTGGGGGACGGTAAAGCCCTGAAGCCTTGGAAGCAGAATGGCCCGACTCCCTTCCTTTTCCCACTTTTTATCCCAAGCCTACTGTGTGCTGTTGATGGTGCAAGGGACACAGAGGTGCGCTCTGTGGGTGGGGTCCGTGTTGGCCCTGTGTGACAAACTGCTCTGGATGTATGAAGCAAGGTGTGTGTGTGGGGGGGGGTGCCTTCACTTCTCAGTGTTGCAGGAAAGGTTGTGAGAATAAGTAACATTGCAGTGAAGTCCCCCAAAATGAGAGGAAGTGCCAGGCAGAGAGCATCTGCAAAGGCCTTGAGGTGGGAGGGAACAGGTAATATCCGAAGAAATAGAAGGACAGTGAATCTGGTCCCCAAGGGTGATGAGGAGGCGAAGATGAGACACAGGGTCATATTACAAAAGGCCTCCCACTGAAAAGGCTGTAGAATTTTCATCCTGGGAGCACCGAGGGCTAACTGTTTAGAAGTTAAAAGTTAGGTTAGAGATTTGCCTTAAGGATGCACTAACTAGGTGTTTCACGTGTGGCTGAATTACCGAGAACATCGGTCTATAAGAATGACTGTCCAGAGGTCAGCAAGCTGGCTTAGCAGGAGCCCGTCGGTGGTGGCGCACGCCTTTAAATCTCAACACTAGGGAGGTAGAGGCAGATGGATCTCTGAGTTCAAGGCCAGCCTGGTCTACTAAGCGAGTTCCAGGACAGCCAGGGTTACACAGAGAAACCCTGTCTCAACAAAAACAAAACAAAGCAAGATGGCTCCATAGGTAAAGAGGCTTGCTGTCAAGCCTGAGGACCTGAGTTCAGTCCTCGGGTTCCTCACCGAGGGAGGAGAGAACTGACTCCCACAGGTTGTCCTCTGGCCTATGTAAGGTAAACCTTGCCCTTTGGAACCACGAGTTCCAAACCCATAAGGAATCCTATCTCTTGTCTCCACACACGTGCAAACATGTATGCATTCCCCCAACGGTGCACAAAGTGAAAATCTCCAATCCAGCCCTCATCGGTCCATTTCCCCGTCGTGGCTCCCTAAGTCAGTCCACTGCCCCTCGGGACCTCTTGTAACACCTGCCTCCTTCCCCTTTGCCCTTACGATCTGTTCCTGTCATAGGCATCAGAGGAATATTCTTGTTTTGTCTTGTTTTCAAGATAGGGTCTCATATAGCGCAACTCGAACTCACTGTGTAGCCAAGGATAACCCTGAACTCCTGCCTCTGCCTCCCAAGTGCCAGGATCACAGGTGTGCACCATCACACTCAATTTATATGGTGCTGGGGGTCAAACCCAGGGCTTCATGCATGCTAGGCAAGCACTCTGTTGTATCCATAGCCTAAAGCCAGGCATGGTGGCATGTGCTTTAATCCCAGCACTTAGGAGATGGATACAGTTGGATATCTATGAGCCTGGTCTACATAGTGAGTTCCAGGACAGTCAGGGCTACATAAGAGAGAGAACTTGTCTCCCAAAAAAATATATTTTTGCTTTTTATTTATCTGTGTGTGTGTGTGTGTGTGTGTGCGCGCGCGCACACACGCGCGCGCGTGCGCACATGTATGCACACGCACCATGGCATGCTTTTGCAGACCAGAGGACAGCTTGCAGGAGTCAGTTCTCTCCTTCCACAATGTCGGTCCTGGGTATTGAACTGAAGTCCTCAGGCTTGGCAGCAAGCGCCTCTCACCACTGAGCCATCTTGCTGGCCCCGGAGGAATGTTCTCAAATCTTGAATTAGTTCACACACCCTTGATCCTCCCATCCTGCTGGAGTAAGAGCCACAGACGTCACCGAGGCCCACAAGCCCACCACTGCACCAGCACCGTCTCCCCTTTCCCCGCCCACCAACCATCCACCGTTGGCTTTCCTAAGGATTCACTTTTGCCGTGCGGCTCCTCTCCTCCACTGTACCTCAGTGATAACAGACCAGGACATGGACTCCAGAACCAGGCTGAGTCCACATTCCAGCTCTGCATCCTACCAGCTCAGGGACTCTGGGAGGATTCCTTGTTAACCTTATTTCTCCCATCTGTAGAATGGGTTTCTTTTCAGGGACAGCGTGAAAATTAAAATAGCTGATGTTTGTAAAGGACTTTGGGTGGAACTGAGCGTTTATCGGGTGCTGCACATGAGTGATGAATACACGTGCCTGCTCAGAGCTGGGCCGGGTGGCCAGAGGCCTGTCATCTCAGACCCTCCGAAAGCTGAGGCAGGAGAATCAACCCCCAAGTTCAGTGCTTGCTTAGGATACAGAGTGAGTTGAAAGCCAGCTCTAGGCAACCTGGTGAGACCCTGTCCCAAAAATTTTAAAGGGGACTGGGACATGGCTCAGTGGTAGAGCCCCTGCCTAGAATCCCCCAGTGAGGGCCTGGGGTGTTGCTCAGTGGTAGAGCCCCTGCCTAGAATCCCCCAGTGTGGGGCTGGGGTGTGGCTCAGTGGTAGAGCCCCTGCCTAGAATCCCCCAGTGAGGGGCTGGGGTGTGGCTCAGTGGTAGAGCCCCTGCCTAGAATCCCCCAGTGAGGGGCTGGGGGTGTGGCTCAGTGGTAGAGCCCCTGCCTAGAATC